ATATATATATATATATATATATATATATATATATATATTATATGAATAAATATGTGTGTGCGCGTGTGTGCGTGCGTACGTGTGTGTGTGTGCATAAACTCGAAATTTGTTCAGAGTAACGTCGGGTTTGTATCGAATTATACCATAGCGGTAAATTTCTTTCGCGGACGATGATGAGAACTAAAACCACCAAGTGAGATTTTTACGAACTAATTCACTACAATAAGAACATGTTCACCTGTGAAATCACTATATGGTTGACAATGCAAACTTATACTGTTACCGCTTTCCTTTTCGTTAAAACTAACATTGAAAATGGCGCGCGAAAATTGCTGAATAATAATGGCAGGGATAGCCTTTTTTTAGCCACCTTTGATCGATTTAGGACGCACCGCTAATAGATGTAGTAGTCACTTGTACCAAGGTGCTTGGTGTGACCGCTGCTGTTCTCTAGCAACAACTATATTATTAGTATCAACACTAGTATCAACCACAACAATAGTATTGACGCTCGGCTCTCACTCGCTATCTTTATTCTCGCTGCATGGTCGATTCCATAAATTTGCCGCATAACAATTTCAAACGATTTCGTCGTTAATTCGCGGTTCAATCTTCAAATTCCGGGAACGAATCGTCAATGTCAGTACTGTACGTATATATATATATATATATATATAAAAGCTGCACTCGCACGCGTGGACACGCGTTCACAATTTGCTATGAAATCACGTCGGGAAATTTATTATCGACCGGCTAATGGACGTAATCGATCGGACGTGGCTAAAAAAAGCTATCCCTGCAATTATTACTCAGCACATTTCGCACGCCATTTTCAATGTTAGTTCTAACGAAAAGGAAAGCGGTAACAGTATATGATTGCATTGTCAACCATATAGTGATAACAGGTGAACATGTTCTTATTGTAGTGAATTAATTCGTAAAAATCTGGCTTAGTGGTTTTAGTTCTCATCATCGTCCGCGAATGAAATTTACCGCTATGGTATAATTCGATACAACCCCGACGTTACTCTGAACAAATTCCGAGTTTATGCAGTGTGTGTGTGTGTGTGTGCTTCACATAATGTACGCCTAATAATGTGGGCTTCTTTAATCGTGAGTTTCTCTGGCGGAGAGCCACCGCAACACGGCGCTACGATCGGCCGCAGTGTGAATTCAGCTACGAACATACACGCGCGTGCGTGCGTACTTAGTTATCTATTGTTATGTAGTTCTATAACTCTAGTAACTATAGCTAATTATCAATGGCTAATTATCAATAGCTAATTATCAATGGCTAATTATCAATGGCGCTGTTCAGGCACGTGCCTGCCGAAACATAAACCTAGATAATGACATCAGTATATATATATATATCCTATGTCTTACGCTATGACTTAAGTTGCAGAGCGTAATAAATTGTAGTCTGTAGATAAATTAAAGACAAGACATCACATTACTCCTAGTTTCACGCTTACGCGATCATCAGACAAACTTTAATGAAGAATAAACCTTGTATACATTCTATAACCTATATAATCATAAATGGCGCTATTGTTAACAGCGCCATTGATAATTAGCCGCCGGGGCAGGCACGTGCCTGCCGAAACATAAACCTAGATAATGACATCAGCTTCACATAATGTACGCCTAATAATGTGGGCTTCTTTAATCGTGAGTTTCTCTGGCGGAGAGTCACCGCAACACGGCGCTACGATCGGCCGCAGTATGAATTCAGCTGCGAACATATATTTTATTATTTAACACATATTGTTTTGACCCACTATTGACACTACCGGGAGTAGATTGACAGTAGTAGTTGTAGTAGACAACTATAAGCCAATGTTAGTAACGGTAAGTTAACGCTAGGTAACGCTAAGTTAACGCTAGGTAATGCTAAGTTAGCAGATTAGCAAGAGCTGTTATTTGTTCTCCTGACACACACGCACACGCGCACGCGCGCGCACACACACACGCGCACGCACACGCGCACGCACACGCACATGTACACGCACGCACGCACGCACGCACGCACACACACACACACGTACAAACACACACACACGTACACACACACGTACATACACAACTAGTTATATACGCGCGGTACATCAGCGTGTTGCTGGTCCTACGGCGCAGGTACTCAGTCAGACGTAAACGTCAAAAAGATCGGATAAAAGCGACATTATAACGAATAGTAGTAACCTGTAGTCAGCGGGCGTAGACTGCGGCTGCATGTGTAGTGATAGTTACAAAGAATAAAACGGACAAAGTAGAGGGAGGGAGGAATGAACCGGAGGTAAGGGGAGGGGAGGGGCCGAGACTAGGGGAAGGAGAGGGGGAGGGTGAGGGGGAGGGAGAGGAAGAGGGTTAAAGTGAGGGGATACGGGAAGGGGGAGGCTGAGGGGGTTGGATAGGGTAGAGGAAGCATGAAAATGTAGCTACTGGTCTTTAAGGCAGAGATGAGGTTGCGGATGGCATGACGATGTAGCTACAGATCTATAAGGTAGAGACAGGGTTGCAGATGATGGCATGACGATGTAGCTCCAGATCTATAAGGTAGAGACAGGGATGCGGAGGATGGCGTTACGATGTAGCAACAGATCTATAAGGTAGAGATGAAGATGATAAAAGAATCCGTGCCATTGCGATGACATAGTCGCGCGGTAAAGTGAAATTATATGGAAAATGTCTTGGAAACAAACGAGAATCGCCTGATCGTTAGTTAAATGACATTTTACCCTTTTTATATGTATAGAAAAAAAACACTATATATTCGCCATATATATAAATAAATAAATAACTATATATATATATATATATACGCAATTCAGTTATATTAGTCAATAGCATTATTTCACCACTGTGGAGGGTCCAGTGCGTCGCGTGACCTGGCAACAATCCAAACTACGAATCACAAAAATGCGAATAATCTAATTAATCCAACACAACATCCGCTACACATTTGTAACATTTCGCCCAGATCAACGCGACATGCAACAACGTCTGCAACAAGCGAATTGCGCGGGCGCGAATTGGGGGTCTTATTTTACTAAATTTACCCGAGCTCCCAATGCGTTTGCACAGCTGTGACGTATTGTGCCGTTTTCGGTTGGTTACGTTTTACTTTAAACGCACTACTTATAACGCACGAAGATTACTTTTAAAATGTCTGTCATTTTCCACCGGAATCGATAGGATCGACTACATTCGCGCCCGCGCAATTCGCTTGTTGCAGACGTTGTTGCATATTGCTTTGGTCTGGGCGAAATGTTACAAATGTGAAGCGAATGTTGTGAACAAACACCATATACGAAATATCCCNCTCTCCTCTCTCTCTCTCTCTCTCTCTCTCTCTCTCTCTCCTCCTCTTCTTCTCTCTCTCTCTCTCTCTCTCTCTCTCTCTCTCTCTCTCTCTCTCTCTCTCTCCCTGTCTCGCTCTCTCT